GCTGTTTAGCCGATCCGCAGGAGTCCACGGCCGGCCGGCTGCTTTGCGGCGCTGGTAGCTGGGGTTCTGCAGAGCTCCCGTGTCCTTCATGAAAGATCTTGGGGGTACCTGCTCTCTCAGTGAGCGAGTTCAAATCCAGGGGAGGGATCTCAGCTCACCCCTGGATGGATCATTATCCACAGAGCAAAACCACGCTATCACCAGCCCCCGGCCAGCCCCAGGAGAACAAAGGCGCTGTCCATGGGTTTGCGCTGGTAGCTGGGGTTCTGCAGAGCTCCCGTGTCCTTCATGAAAGATCTTGGGGGTACCTGCTCTCTCAGTGAGCGAGTTCAAATCCAGGGGAGGGATCTCAGCTCACCCCTGGATGGATCATTATCCACAGAGCAAAACCACGCTATCACCAGCCCCCGGCCAGCCCCAGGAGAACAAAGGCGCTGTCCATGGGTTTCCCTGCCTCACAGGAGCAGGCTGGGTACGTCAGCCAGAGCCGCCCAGAGCTGCCCCACGGCAGAGATGGGGCCGAAGCGGGGAGCTGAGGTCAGAACAAGCCTCACCTCATATTTCTGCCTCTTGAACTTTTCCTGCAGGTCGAATTTCTCAGCCTCCAGGTCGTGGATGCTCTGCCACAGCTCCATGGCCTTGTCTCTGTGGGCAGAGCCCGGGGAGACTGTGAGGAGATGCAGGGGAAGGGCCACATGCAGCTTTGACCCCCACCAGCCTACCAGCCCTTTAGAGAGGTGGCACTTTAGGCACTGCCCCTTGGCAAGGCAGGAATAGGGGCCTGGAGCAATGCCCCAGTTCACCCCCCCTTTAGTGACAGGCCTGAAGCCACTAGTGGGGACACGATAGGGCTGAAGACGTGTGATCACAGCTCCCCCTGCTGGCCAGCCCCTGTAACCATTCCAACCTGCTACCTCTCCCGACCGTGGAGTTTCCCCCAGGTTCCCACACTGGGGGTTGAGTGTCTGCAGCTCAAAAGTTCAGCCCCAGCCGGCGACCCCAGCGGTGGCAAGCGTGGCCACATTCCCCTGCAGAGCCCCGGGATCGAGGGGCGATGCATCTGCACATCCGCATGGATGGAGCCACCACTGGAGTGCTGCCCCCTGGTGGTGCAGGCGCCTCACATAGTCTGGTCCAAGAGGGCAGCTGACCTCACTTGGGATGAAGGGGGCAGATTGTTTTGCTGCCCTTCTGGGTTAGTGATGCCAACGGGGGCTGAGCTCAGGCACGTGCTCCCGGGCTCTCCCCCGTCTGGTAGGTTTGGGGGTGCTACTGTCCCCGCCCCCCCTCACTTCAACTTCTCTTCGTTCAGGTGGTCGATGTTCAGAGGTTTTCGCCGCTCGCCGAGAATCTTCTTCTTCTTCTCCCGCTCCGTCTGCTTCTTCCCGCTCTTCTTCTCTGTCTGAAGGCACCAGTTGGCCCAAGTCAGAGGAAATTGACTCCTCTGCCCCCCCCCCAGCAGCTTGGCTCCCCCTTCTGCCCACTGGGGGAGGGAGCTGCTACTGTCTCATGGCATGGGGAGGCCCATCAGCCAATCTGACTCCCACAAGTTTGCTCTAGTGCAGGGGAAACCAGTTTGGGATTCAGCAGACCTGAGCACTCTGCCACTAACCTGCTGGGTTACCTCTGTCAAGTCACTTGCCTGCTCCATGGCTCAGTTTCCCTTCCCAATCTTTGCCTAATCTAGTGAGCTCTCTGGGGCAGGGACTGCAGCACAGGGCCCCTGGCCCAAGGGGGCTGGATCCCGGCAGGGCCTCTAGGTGGAGCTGGAACACTGTCAGAACCGGTACGTCTCCCCAGAAGCGAGGAGACCAATGGCCGGGCGTGGCAAAGAAGTTTGCAAGACAAAACTCAGAGAGCTGCCCTAGGTGACTTGGCACGGTTCTGTCTAGAGTTTTGGGAGGGCGGGTAAAGTCCAGTGACCTTAGGAAATGAGGTCCTCGAAGGATGCAGGCGGCTCTCGCGAGACTCCCTTCTCCCCTGCAGCAGGACAATCCATTCCTGGCATTTTCTGCTCTAAGCCCAACGACCTCGTGAAAACCCCTGGGAATTCTCCCAGCATGCCTCACTACTGCTGGCCCCTTTAACGGTGGGATAGAGACCCAACGGCAGTCCCAAGGCAACCATTTGCCGTTGACGGCTGCGGGCCACTCTTCCCACGTGCTAATCCACCCTGGCTCTTGTCGTGGGGTTTCTTCCTGGCTCTGTGCCCTGGGCCGAGCCCCCCCACGCTTGGCACCAGCCTCTCAGTAATGCCCGCTCCTGGGGCTGGCGCGGGAGGGGGTAGGGCAGGCTGCTGGGAGTGTGGGGCAGCCTCTGCCTGAGACAAGCCTAGCACGGCGCAGGTCCCCTGGCACGCGTCACGGCGACGGGGCCTGCTGCAAAGAGAGATGCTGCCTATGGACCAGGCGGGTCCCCAGGTTGCAGGAGGGATGGGCGCCCCCTCGCCCCCCACGAGTCTCAGCATCCCCGGGGGCAGGGGGCGGGGGAAGAGTCTGGCTACAGCCAGCCCAGGCTGGAATCGCACCTTCTGCAGGTAGCCCCCGAAATGCAGCATGTTGGAGAAAGCCTTCTTCTTCCTGGCCTCCTCTTCAGCCCTCTTCTTGGCCTCCTCTTCCTCTCGGCGGGCTCGCTCCTCCTGTCAGGGGAGAGCCAGAGCAAGAGGGGGAGGGCTAAAGGGAAGCCTGGGGACTCGTGGCTGCTGGAGCCAGACGCAGCCGAGTGAGAGCCGCTGGGCGCAGACAGCCGGCCACACACCAGACCAAGGGCTGCAGACTCACACGCCGCAATAGCCCTTTGTATTCCCGCATGCCCCTGTGTCCCTTGGGAGAGCTGTGGGCAGCCCAGGGGCCACGGCAGAACAACGTGGCCTCAGAGGAGTCTCAGGTGTGCCCGCTGGCTGATCCAGAAGCAGCACTGGGGGAGACTCCTTTCCCCCCACTCCCCATGCAGTAGCACCGTGGGGTCCAACACACCAGCCACGAGCCACCTGCAGCTATTTGGCCGGTTGAGCGTGGCTACCTCAGTGGCTGCTGCTTCAGAACTGGTTGGACACCACGGTGCCAGGAGGAAGGCTCCTGACGCACGAGGAGGCCGACCAGCAGCCGTCCCCCACCTCCCGGCGCCGGACACTCACTGCCACGCGAGCCTGGCGCTCCTTCTCCCGCTCGCTGCGGATCCGCTGCTGCTCCGCCCGCTCCGCTCGCCGCTGCTCCTGCAGGGGAAGGAGGCGTGAGCGGAGAGGCCAGGGGTGGCCTCGGGACTGGGGGGGGCTCCCCTAGGTGCCAGCGTGACTGGCCTCGCCCGAGGGAAGCGTTTGCTCGGTTGGTACGGCGAGGAGCCGCGAGCCTGGCGCTCCTTCTCCCGCTCGCTGCGGATCCGCTGCTGCTCCGCCCGCTCCGCTCGCCGCTGCTCCTGCAGGGGAAGGAGGCGTGAGCGGAGAGGCCAGGGGTGGCCTCGGGACTGGGGGGGGCTCCCCTAGGTGCCAGCGTGACTGGCCTCGCCCGAGGGAAGCGTTTGCTCGGTTGGTACGGCGAGGAGCGCCGGGCACCGAGGAGCGGGGAGGGTGCAGGACACCTCCACCTGGGATCGAATAATTGCCCAAGCCCTGGGGTCCAGATACCACCAGGCTCCTCAGGCTGGATCAGACCTGGGTCCCCCCTCTCCCGAGGCAGCATCCTGCTTTTCAAGAGCCCAGCCCTGCTCCACAGGCCTTGAGCAGGGAGAGAACCCGTCCCATCGCCAGGGCCGGCGGGGGCGAGCAGGGGCCTCCGGACGTACGATTCGGTCCTTGAGGAAGATCAGCTCCTCTTCCTCCTTCTTCCTGTTCTCAAAATGGGCGTCGATCAGGCCCTGCAGCTCGTTCAGGTCCTTCTCCATGCGCTTGCGGTGGATGTCCTGTGGGGAGCACGGCACTGAGCCAGCCAGCACCGCCTGCCCCGAGCCACAGCCCCCAGGCCCTGTGGGAGCCGGGGCGACCCCACGGGGAGAGCCGAGGCTGGCTGACAGCACTGCCACCAGGCCCAGAGCCAGAGGGGCCAGCAGACGTGGGACTGTGAGGCCAGGACCCAGAGGGGCCGGCAGACGTGGGACTGTGAGGCCAGGACCCAGAGGGGCCGGCAGACGTGGGACTGTGAGGCCAGGACCCTGAGGGGTCGGCAGACGTGGGACTGTGAGGCCAGGACCCTGAGGGGCCGGCAGACGTGGGACTGCGGGGCCAGGACCCAGAGGGGCCGGCAGACGTGGGACTGCGGGGCCAGGACCCAGAGGGGCCGGCAGACGTGGGACTGCGGGGCCAGGACCCAGAGGGGCCGGCAGACGTGGGACTGCGGGGCCAGGAACCAGGGGGGCGCGGCGAGGT